ATCCCGTGAAAAGGTTCACTAGGCTACATTCTAGAATTACTACAGCAATGGGAACAAACTCACATGCATAAACTTACTCATAAAGGAAAGGCTGTGCGTTATTTTTTGCCTGTTGGGAATGTGCAACATCTTGCTGAAGAGAAAGATGGATAACGGCAGAAATGCTAGGCTTGGCACAGACTGCCCAACACTTACTGCAGGGCTGTATCCTTATATTTCACGTACTTCTTTAGCCAGTAAGATATTGCTGGTTGGCATGATTCTGCATAGAAGCAGTATGTACATTCAAACCTAATGTATATTCCTAACGTATTCTGGCACACAGCAAGAAAACATGTTAAGGCATAGTAAGACTCATCCTCTGTCACTACATCGTCCATAGAGTTCTAACAGTCACTAATAAGAGTAGGAAAGGGCTTTTGCGACAGTATTTTTGCTTTGTTCTGTTTTCTTTCCCCGAGTTTTATTTTACACAAATGTTGCAGCCCAACATAGCCAACTGACACAACACTACTGAAAAATTGAGGTTAGGGCTGGAAAACACAACAGACCTATTCTAAGAATAGGTTTTCTCAGAAGAAGCTCTGTGCATGAGTAGCAAGTTTCCAGTACCCTTTCTCCTCATTGCATCATTTCAAACTATGGGCAACTAGGCTCTGTCACCAGGGGAAGAACTGTACTTATGAGCGCCATGGATTTCAGTGCAGTTATCGGGGAAACAATGTACTGGTGAGAACAAGGCTATCAGGTCTTTCAAACAGTGTGCTGCAGTGACTTTACTTGCAGCATTAAAAGTACAAACTAGCAAAAAAAAAAAAAAATCAAAGCGGCGGAATACCTGGATAGGTGTTTTCTACTCAGCAATCCCAGTCAATATCCTCTAACTAAAGGGTGACAATATAAATACAAGACTAAATGAGAGCAACGGTTCCTATACCCTCCCCAAAAGGGAAAATTGCTTATAATTAAAAAAAGCATAACCAAGACAATCTCTCTTATGGGTGTGCTTTGATTTTGGCATAAATTAAGGTCTTACAGTTACAGAACATTTTCCTCCCCAATGCAGACATTTAGAATGCGAAATAGAAAATACAAAATACATATAATTTTTCCTTTTTCTTTATTACCACCTTGTTAACCCAGACCTTTGGAATGACAATTTACTGTTTCGCCTCTTAAAGAGGAAAAAAATGGGAAATTTAAAGCAGTGCTTAACCTAGAGATTCCTGTGAATCATTCTTCCATTCCCCAGTTCAGTTTGTGAGCTGCATTTAAAATGTTTCTTTCAGTTCTATTAAAGTCCTGTGGTTAAAAGATAATCAAGAGCAAGAAGTATAAATTAATAAAATGAAGAAACAAGTACACCATTAGCATAAGCCAGCTCTCTCCTTTCTCTCCCCTCTTGAGAGCAAAAGAGGTAGCATCCAATGGTGACCCAAAGCATTCTCCTTTTCTAAATAAACCTTTCGTAAGCAAGAACACAGAAAACAGCACTGGCAGTGTTAAACCTGTCTATCATGATCTTTTCTGGATGTTAAATAGACTCCTTTTATAATCCTTTTACATTCTTTCATGAAATTTAAATAAAGAGCTCCTGCTTTTTACCAGTTGGAGATATTTTAAATAAACATTCGAAGTCTCAAATTAGTTGAGTTCAAAATCCAAATATGCCTTCATATCTGTCCTTTCCTAAAAACAAGCCATAGAAATATATCTACCCTTACTCCTATGCTGTCCCTCAACGACATTCGGCTACTCACGCAGTACTCCTCACTAGATAAGATTGCTTGCAGAAGTCTTGCATTTAAAGAGAATCTAAGGAAGATATAAATAGTCTGTTTCTAATGGCTTCTTATTCAGTAGTCCCTGATTTACCAGGGCAAACAGTTCTCTTTTCCATCTTATCTTTATCTAAGAAAAGATTCTAGCAGACTTTCATTCTCAGACTTGTTTCAAAGACAAAATTGGGCCAGGGAACTCACTGGGGTTTTGTTTGGTTTTTAAATGCACTTGCTCTGTGCTTCTTTAATTTTTATCATTGTTTTCTCTTTCTCAAATGGATTTCACTTTTAAGTGATTTCTAACATTTTCTTTAGAAGAAAAGTTTGCATCTCCATAAAATGCAGGTCCTTGAGCAGATTTGTCTATAGGACAAAGGTTGTCTCAACTCAGAATAAACAGAAAAATAATCTGAATTGCACCAAAAAGCTGTCTACTGTGGGCTTAATAATAGTACTGTAAGGAATCGAATATCACAGCATATCCTCCCTTCCCATCGCTATTGGTCTGGAAGAAAACATGGCTGTTGCAGTGCTAAACATTTATTTAACCAGCTTCCTTGTTAAGAAATGTCACAGTGTGACTTGGTGAAACAACAGCAAAACTCCTAGGACTCATGTAGATCGTCTATATTAAGATATATATCCACAGAGACTGATTTAAGAAAGCCAGACCAACAAAGGTCATACAAAAGTGAGAACATAGACCTTATTTTGTCCCTACATCTTCTCATGTGAAGAAAAAAATCCCTACATTACTTCTCCCTGTACAGCCAGGCATTTTACACAGTGGCGAAGTGAGATCTAGGTGTCCCACAGACAACGGACCGTGAAGCAGAACCTCTCATCTTACGGGATGCGATCGGATAAGGGAAGCTGAGAATTTGTCAGCTATGTATTTGTAAAACCATTTCTCATGTAGTGACTGCAAAGGGTAACGTTCTGCTGAACAGTGATGAACAAGAGTTTCAAAACAGCAAAACTAAAAGTTGGTATCTACTACGATTATGCAAAAGTTCTGCTCTGAGGCTGTATCTTAAGGCCAGGAAACGAAGGCAGAAAAAATGCAAACTGTGCAAATTTTCTTTTTTGATTATTGGTGTGTTTCTACACTACCTATTTAGTAATATGGCATCATTATTTATTTAATGCGTGACAGATAGGCATTGTACCAGATACAAACTATATGAACAACTGCTACATATAGTTAACAGGTGCATTTATTTTACTAAGAAAACCCTGCAAGCCTCATACAGGGTTATTTTAGTTAGTTTGAAAGTACTTTCAAGTATTCATACCAATCACTGGATTCTACTGTGAGTTTTAGAGGTTTTACTGTAATAGGTCCCACTTAAAAGAAAATTAGCTCTCTGCCCCTTGAGGCTCTGTAAAGACAACAAAGTTCAAAGACCCACAAAAGCACGAACACAAATGAAACCCTCCTAAGCTCAGTAAGATGTTAGCAGTGGGTTGCCTCAGGGATCAGTGTTAAATTACAAGAGGAAAAAACCATTATCATCAACAAAGGTGAATCAATTTTCATCTTTCAAGCAACCAGGCCTTTCAAACATTGCAACTACAAGTGATTTAGGAATTAGACTAAATAATTTACAAAAATAAAACAGTACTTTCAGATAATGGATGCTGTATTACTGGACAAAATACCCTACTGGCATATAATATAGATAAATGTTGCTTGAAACATCAAAGATGAGAGTACTGGTGTAAAAATAAAATCTTGATTAGAGGTACAGATTACAGATTATTAACTGCTGCACTAATATGTGCCCAAGGACTTGAAGTCGCTATATAAATTGGAAGATGAGGAGGAGGAAGAAAAACATAGAAAATATCAGAATTGCTTTGCTTAAAGAAGTACACCACCAACGAAAGCTCCAACAGGATGCTAAAGGAGATAAATCCAGCAAAAAATAGTTATGATCTTTCTGGAAATGTTTCAGTCCCTTGCAAAACATAACCGTAGTAGACTAAGTTTCAAAACTTAAAGTTAAAATCCATTCCCTCCCCCCAAAATTAAAGTACATTCAGATGTCAAACTTTTAATAAAAAATGAAACTGTTGAAAGAAAATTACCCAGATGGGCAAACCAGAACCAATGAATTTGGGGGTCATGCTAACTGAATTCAAAGCACAAAGTAACAGAGCAATGACGACATAAAATGACCACAAAAAAGAAAACCAGAGTAGCAGACATTGCTAATGCCTAGGAATTGAAAAAAAAAAAAAAGTTGACTGATCTTCAGAACCAACTCACTGCTGTGAATTACACCTGGCTTATTTACACCACTTCAGATGTTACAGGGAATACCCTTATACCTATGTACATATTCTGAAGTTACTCTACTGACCTCCATAACATCCCAGGATTGAACTCCTGCTTTCAGGAGTCTTAGCATGCGGAGCCTTAGCATGCAATATTTTGGTAGAATACACAGAAGAGAAAAACCAACAATCACATTGTCTCAAGAGCTGGCAAACTTGTATCATGAATGTGACTACACTGAACAAATAGCAAAGTGTAATTTTTTAGAAATACAAGCTACCAGAGGGATACCACACAAGTCTACCAACAGCATCAGCATATCCTATTCACTGTATTTGAAACAATCAAAAGTAACTCTATTCACTCTCTGATTTGGCCAAGAAAAGAAATACTGGAGGTAACTGAATTATAACAACACTTTTCAAAACCACAACGGAGCACAAGAGAGATAGGTAAAACATACAGCTCTTATTAAATAATGTTTTCATAACCTCCTTAGCTTTATTCAAAGTATGAAAAAAATCATGGTAATCAAAACTTAGGCTCTTTCTTCCAACAGAAAACACTATTATCTATAACTTAACATTTAAAAAAAAAAAAATCTAATTTACCTGTCTATGAAGTAAAACATCGCTGTTATTTGCAGAAAAAAATTTGCTTAGCTCAGCAAAGGGAACACCTGTTTCATACCACTAAAAGCATGACAGCAGGTTCTTCCAGATAATACTTGCCATACCATAATATCTCATCGCCGGAATACAAACCTTTTCTTTGACAAAGAAAACAAAAAAAATTGTTGTTCTTTTGCTTGTTTGGGTTTTGTTTTGTTTTGTTTTTGTGTTTTGTGTTTTTGTTTTGTTTTTTTAAATACATTCTCACGTATAACATGAATTGCATTGCAGATTTCAGGGATTAATGGAAAGCTGAAAGCTTCTTACCAAGTACCCCAAGGCGATAGTTGACTGTGATGACTATCACATTCCCATAACTTGCTAGAACACTGCCATCATATAAATTTCCAGTGCCTTCCATGTAGGACCCTCCGTGAATATACACCATCACAGGCTTAGGTCCCCCACTGTCCCGAATGTCTGGAAAAAACATTAAGACACATTTTATCTCAAGAAAGTACCAAAAAAAGATACATGCAATATTTTAATTTTTTTTAGTGAGGTTATTTTTCTTGAAGTGTTTCTCAAGCAACATCTTTTACATAAGAAAAAGGGCAGGTGGGCCTAAGTGTTTCTTTGTGGCTTGCTTGTAACCAAAGTTCATATTTTTGAAACACTCGTTGGCCTCAGAAAAGCAGAAAGGAATCAGAAATGGTAATGTGTTTGCTCAAATGCAATGGGACGGTGGTCTGATTCTGTTCTTGCTGAATTTGACATAAAATCTCTGCTAACATCAGCGTGAGCTCATTTAGGCAGTCTGAACACTTCTGAAAGCTCAGTCCATCTTTCTGTTCACTTAGCTAAAGGCAATTCACCATATTAAGATAAACAAGATTTCTGCTTATACGTAAATGGTTGATTGCTTCCAGTATGGTAAGCTCAATAATTTATAAAAAGGGCGTATAAACAGCTGTCTCTTGATAAGTCTGAAGTCCAAGTTCTCAAAAAGTACTTGGAGGCTGTTTAACACTTAGACCTCAAATGGATATTATTTGTAACCTGGGTAGCCTAAAGTTTAACTTATTTTATCAAATTGTGAAAAGGACTGTATGTTATATTTGAAAAAATAGCTGCCTGGAACAATATTTGTAAATCCCCACCCTGCATTCAAACAAATATTAAGGTTCTCAAAAGTAACACTAAATGCAGGTAACAATTTTGAATCTTAGAAGCTCTGCCATTCTCTCGGACAACAAAATTAGACATTGACTTATTGTTTCGAGTTTCTTTTTAATGAAGACATTGATTTGGGTATCCCTCCCCCTCCAAACAGTCCTATTTGCAAATTAATGCATCTACTCGGAATAAAATTTTGAATATCTGAACACCACTGCTCCTTCTGAGGAAAGCTGTTCTTAAGTATCAATTCAAAGCAACAGTTAGTGGTGGGATAATACATGTTTTTAAAAGATTTTTTTTCTGTTGGACTGGAAAGAAATCAGCTAAGTTGTAAATTTAAACTTTTACATCTGGATTAAATTGTATTTTGATCTCATTTACTAGGTGCCTGAGTCTTTTCCACTGTCAAGTGGTAGTATTCCATAATACTCCCTAAAAATCAAGACAGACAATAGTAAGAGAGCATATCAATACTTCCCAACGAGGAACTGGACTGCATATTCTGATTTGAAGACACTTTTTGTCATTATAACAGTATTCGAGTGACTTCCCTAATTACTCACTTTGAAGAAACCTCAGATGTATTGTTTAAAACTTTCATTTGGAGGAATCTTAGTTAAGATGCTTTCAAGTAAGCTCTCTGTAGAATTGTTTGAATCGTTTCTATACAGACAACTAGGTAAGTGCAGTTACACTAAAAGTCCTGCTTTTTAAACTTGCTGAAAAAAATCAGCCCAGACGTTCCAGCTTACAGAAAACCAGTTGCTATTATTATTTTGATACCGATTCTAATTTGAAGAAAATGCCAGAACAGTCAAGATCAGAAACTGGATCTCCAATATTGGAAGTACTAGACCAATCGTTTATTCAAGACCAAAAGGATGATGAAAGGCTGTGCATGAAATTGCTTGCACTGCTTTCCTCACTCAAGCATATAGTAAGGGCTTTCCAACAGGCAATTTTCAGAGTGTAAAGCTAAGGAGACTATTTATCTTCATTGTCCATAGCACAGAATTATGAGCTCCTGACGTATAAAATCTACACAGAGGAAAAACTCTTTTCAAATTCATAGACTGTTTTCAGTAGATCATTTGTTCATAGTCTATGCTTCTTTTTTTTTTTGGATACAAATATGGAAGCAATAATAAATTATTAATCTGAAATCACTGTGTGACTGTTCCCAGCAGAAATTGTACACAGTTAATTGTATGCTTGGTGGTAGCACAGGGGGAGACTGTCTCAGAATTCTTCTTTAATTAAAATTACATAGAATTACAGAGCACCAACTGTGAACAGTAATGAAATGTTGGTAGTACTGGTCTGTTTATCTGGAAAATAATATTGGGATATTTAGAAAAGAATAGGTGTCCTTTACCTGAGAAAGGAAGCACACATTCATGAGTAAAATCTGACATATAAAGAAGTGATTTGCTGAGTAAATTCTGTCTATACTGTATTTTTGTTATTTCTTACTACTAATATTCTTGTAAAGATTACAGATAACAAAAGGCTAATTTTCAGCTCTGCCTATGGGCCGTGTCAGAGCAGATGACATGCAGGATGAATTTTCCTCATGCTGCTTTGCCAAAGTCATCAGTCTTAAGAGAAATCCCATCTACAAAAGAAAAATGGTGCTTCTGTGTGTTTTTCAGGCAGTAATCTAGTACTGGAGACATCTGTGAGGTTCTGCAGTATTCAGCGGAGGCTAGTGGGACTTCGGGCTACGGAGCTCTTGATGTGAAGGAGATCACTGCATTTTGGTCTTACAGTCAGTGGTTTCATATCAATTGCAGTCTATAGCTAGGAATATTTGAAAGGTGCAAATATTCAGCTGGGAGAGTACTGTTTAAGTACAGACATTATTAACTAGTGGATGTTATTAAATAATAAGATCAAAGGAAGAGAGCAAAATTCAGACCATAACGAAGAATTGATTCCTACCTGAAAGGGAGAAAATGTTCCCCCATGAAAACTACCATCCTTTAAAATTAAAATGGAGGAAGTACTAAGATAATGCTCTGTGAGGAGAATCCCTGTATTGGTAGAAAAGTGGCAGAAAGATGCACTTTTCAAAAGTGCTTATTGGAGTTAAGTGTCCAACTCGACAAAGAAAATAGAGATTTTGGCACTCGGATACTTTTCAAAACCTGACCCTAAATGATTTGATGAGTTATTTTTTCTACAAGCTGCTATCAGTCCTTTCTGCACGTGTGCTGGAGTGGTCTCAGTAAACTGTAGCTACGCTTTCTCGCAGAGATGAATAGTCATTCTTGGGTGTGGATTAGCAGTTATTCATGGAAGCAGCTCATTCTAAACAGGCTTGAAGAACTGGGGTGCAAACGTGACATGTCTGCCAAGAAGTGTAGATCTACATACTGATTTAATTTAGTTGCGTACTGTACCTTTTGTTGCATTTTATGAAGTGTTGCTTCGATTAAAAAGCAGACACATGAATATTTTCAAAAACATATGCAGGGACAGTGCTGTTCAAAATCCTTCTCAAATTCAACTCTCTACTGTTTTTATTCACACAGAAGATAAGTTTCAAGTGCTGTGATTTGTTTGGCTTTAAATTGCTAGTTCATAAAACATCTAAGTAGGTCTTACTGTATAGCAGAGTATGATCTTATTTATATGACAAATACATGAACTTTCTTATTATAATTTCCACCATCTCCTCTCTTCTGTACCTTTCTAATGTTTGTTGAATCTACTTTTTATGTCTGGTCTTAACTACACTACAGTCAATTTAGGAATAGGGCTGTCCTTTATTCTATGTTTGTTACATCACACAACAGGGAACTGGGTCTGACTGTGAATATCAGTCACAATTGTCATATACAACAAAACATAATTATAGCTTCAGTCATTTGAAGCTGATGTGAATTTGCCACATGACTTAACAAGTATAATTTGCAAGGAGCAACCAAAATGGGAAAGGAAGAAAGCCTACCTGGAGACAACTTAACACAAAAATATAATTAGTTTAGCACAGATGTCACAAGCAGTGTTTTTCTAAATGCTATAAAAATTGTGACATTTTGATGTAGAGTATTAAGTAAATCTTGCTTTTTGAACATGAAACAGCACAAGAACAGTGGAAAACCTTTAGATTGGTTACTGTAAAACCTATGTGTTCCTTACATAGAATATTATATGGATATGTGTAGCTCTTCCATAAACGAGCTTTTGTCCTAAGATACTTAAGTAGAGCATGGTACCAATCAGTGCAACTCTTACTCATTTAAAGGCCTTTTAAAAGTGTTTGACCTTTCAGTTCAAATCTATCAGATGCCTCATAGATGTACTGCGACTTTAACAAGCTAGTGCCCTTCTCAGTGCTAATACGTAAACATCAATTAACACCATCTTTTTAACATGTGATATAAAACTAGATGTCTTGACACTATTAAAGTAACTATCGAATCCTGATACTATTAAAGTAACTATTGAACTTTTTAGGAGTGGCAGTGAGGTTTTAGACACATTTCATGTGTTAAAATACAGCACTCTCCAAGTTTCAGACAAATACAATTATCTCCTTTTTTTATTTCTGTCCCTGTCAAACCAATGGATCATTTTGTGCACTCTCAAACACTTAACTACCTTTACCTGAAAGAGATTTGAGATCCTGATGGAGAACTATATGAATGTATATTCTAACACTAAAAAAGGCCTATGCTTTTACAGGTAGGCATCTGGAGCAGATTCTCATTAGAGTAGGACCTCAATAGCCAGGTAGGTAATAATTTTAAATTATTAAAAGATGTTAGTTAGAAATGCAAAAGCTCACAGACTCTTCACTGTACAAGCAATGCTTGGCAGTGCTAAAAGTGTAATAGAGCCCTGAAGAGATGCATAAATTAAAGGTCTGTCAGAATTTTTACAATGCACATTTTCAAGTATTAATAACATCACTGTAAAAATTCAACATAATTTGAACTGAGGTTCTCAGTGAAAAGGGAAAAAAACCTAATCGGCAAAATTTAATATGCAAGAGACACTGGAATCTGTACTTGAGAGTTGGAATCACAGAACTAACATGAATGGGTGACAGGACGAACAGGAATCACGAATACGTCTATGCGTATCAGTCAACAAGTTCACCCAGAGCGTTAAGATCTGTGCTGCTCCAGCCTGGCTGGAACTCCTTAGAGGCTATAATTAAGGCTGGAGCATGAGGTTGCTTTGCAAGGTAGACAAACGTGTTCTGTTGTTTACTGAAGTCCAAAAATGTACAACTAGTGCCAGACTAAAAGATTGTTTCTCTCCTTATTTCCTACCATGACGGTTGAAAGCAGATGAAATGCTAAACTTAGCAACCTAGTCTATTTTAATACTAATGGAGTCATAGGATTTTTTGGAGAAGATCCTCAATACTGAAATGTGCTCTTTTGCACCAATGACGCTACAGTCTGTTAAGCATAAGAAGGGATTTGCAGATGCATTCTGCATCATTAGCAATTTAAAATTTGAGTGGATTTTTGTTTGTTTTCATTTAAAACATGCTCTGGACCAAGAACTTCTTTCAGTCAATGAAGTCCAATAGCCCATATGAGACAGAGCATCAGACTAAATGATCAGAATCATCACAGTTACAGCCTGTGAACAAACAGCAACATCTGTTCCTAATCTGTCTCCTTTTCCACAGGAGAGATTGGAATGGAAAAGGGAAGAGTAGAAACATGTAGCAATTACAGTGCAGACCCCGCTTCGGAGGCACGTACTCTCGGTTCCCTGCTTTACTATGGACATGGTGTCTGTGTTCCTCAAACTTAGCGTCTGTATTCCTCATTTCTAAAAATGGAATAGCAGCATTCCTCTATCACGGAGGGATGCTGTGAGACTGAATACATTAAAAACGGAGAGATGCTCAAATAGCATTGGGGACTAAATAAGGATCTAAGACTGACAGACTGATGCGCTAGGTAAGGTGTGTATGATAGAACGGTGGATGCGAAGAATTCATTTGTGAGCAATGCTTCATGGATCTTTCATACAGCACTAACTACCTAAAAGTCCAGTTCTGATCCCCGAGTACATAGGCTGATTAATGATTTGTGTTGCTGTATTTTAAGTCATGCTAAGGATTTTAGCATATGGGAACTACAGGTGCGTAAAAGAGTCACTGGTTCTTGCTACAGCCAAATTAACTCAAGTTAAATCATCACCTTACCAAAATTAAGACTGAGATAAGATATTAAGATTAAAATAGTTTACTTTTAAAACTCAAACCTTGTTTCTAGACTGGGGAAGGTACAGTTTATTCAACTGCTGAGCAACTTAAATCTTGCATCTACACTAGATATTGCTTACCTGCACATCAGCAAATAGGCAAATCCACCACTGCTATAAAAAGAGAAAGCCCCAACGCTCACTGGTTGCAGGAGCTTTTGCCACTCTTGTTTTTGGTGCCTGCTCAAGTAGTTCAATACTTATTGAAAAACAGGTAAGCAATTTCAAGCGTAGACATGAAAGGGTTACAGAGAAACAAGAATGCATCCAGACTGGGGAAAAAAAAGACATTTATATAATTTCTGACTTTTCACACTCGTAGAATTTGAAAACACCTTCATTTTTTAAACAGCAAATTTGCAGATCATTAGCTGGTAATGTGCACCACTGCCTTTGGGTCTTTTGAAAACAAAAATGAAAAATGATCTAATTAAGTCTGGTCTACTTGTTGCAGCACGTACCAGAGATCCAAGTTTGATTACTGATTCCAGTGCTTGTGCTGGCAAGGTTTGGACCGCAATACTGTGGTAGTGACATGTAGCAGCAGATGGGAGTAGGGTTATTGAACACCGTTTTAAAATGAAATTTTATAATCGAACTCTGATGTTTGAGTGACAAAATACAGAATACTTTCCAGGCATTTGATCCAATGCTATGAAATATCTTTCTTCAGGAAAGGTACAATAGAAGAAATGGACATGGGAGCTCTGAATTTCTTAATACAGAGACCATCCTGGGCATTTTAGAAATCACTGGACTTTGTTTACATGGCATGGATTCTGCAGTTATATGACACAGACGTTTTTCACCATGTATAGCCCGGTCTCCCTAATATTCCAACTTCATCATTCATTCAGTTTGGTATTTGTTTTATTTTATCTGCAGTTATTCATTTGTAGATTTTTATATTGAATAAAAACTACCATACTGCAAAAGGTGAAAAGCTTGATGGACGGGTTAGCAGAAATCTAGACAGCTAAGGTGGCTTTTTGCTTTGCCACTTTCTTTCCAGCTACTCATACCCAAATACATATGACTTGAAGTCTGTGAACTCCTCAGTTCTGCATACGCAACAAGTGCTAGAGCTCCAGTGCAGAAGAGCAGGTTCCCAAAATGCAGGTCAGGGCATCTGATACCGCTCCTCCACCGAGGGACGGTGAAATGCAGGGCCTCAGCAGACAGGGTTCCTACCAACCCAGCACGCATCCCTGCAGCCTTCAGTGTCTACTGATAATAAAAATTTAAATTTTCCCTGTCTCTCTGTGACTCTCAGAAGCAGTGAAAGTCTAATTACTGCCTGCATTCTTCTATTGGCATGGAAAGGAGAACAAAACTGTCACTTGTATGCCAGAGAAAATTAATCCCAGTCCTATAAATTACAGAGATTTATTAATGTTGTAAGTGTGTTTCTTCCCCCCTAGTTTGACTGCTGTGTTCTTACAGTCCTTTCTGTCACTCTCCTACAATTGTCAATGTGGGAGACGGGTTTTCTCTGACATGGACACTTGTTCTCCAAAGACTGAGATCCCTACTCTCACCTGACTATACGTACTAAGCTGCTTTCTAATAGCAACCACTCTCTGCTGAATTTTAGCAAACCAAGTAGTCTCTTTTAAGTGTGTCTAAGCAGGGACGGACTCAACAAATGTTAAGCCATTAGCATCTGTCTTGGCAATTATACAGCAATTTAGGAGAGCCATTAAGGTCCACTGGATGAATAACCCGGGTTTCAAACTGTTTCTTAAAATATATTGTTAAAACAAGACAGAGTCACTTTTACAATGGCGAATTCAATATCACAGGTCTTGGAGAACACACAAGAATGTCCCTTGCAATATTTTGTCATGAACTAATGTAAAAATTACGTGGCCTCATAGAGCTAAGTGCATCTGAATTATCATACTTCGCTCTGAATAATATGAGAGCTTTCTAAGGAGATTTTCAATTAGGTTCTTCTTTCAAATGTTGGGCCAACTAGTGGGTTTTCATTCACATGCCTAACATACACATTCAGTAGAGGATCGTAAATCAGACGTATAAATTTGTGTGCTTATTTGTAAAGTCTCTGTTCGGTTACTGGGCAAGAAGTTAAATGCTCATATTTGCCTTTATCTTTTGTGATAAGACTGCATGTTTCTGTTTGAGTAAAACAGTTAATGTTCTGTGTGATGAAAAATTTCTTAATTAAGAGCCTTGCGGTTTACAAGTTATGCTTCATCTTAGTATCTGGGAAAAAAACCCCCAGATATTAACAGAGAAGCAAGTAGCAACTCTACCAGTCTTATATGGTAATTTGATTTACTCACTGACCATAAAATATACAAAGTGTGTTTAAGATTCAGAATTTTGAAGCACATCAACTTGAAGGGATGAGACTGCTCAAGAGAAAGAGCCCCTTGTTACCATTTTCACAGCCCTGAAAAAATATCAAATCTGCATAGCTTATATGATTAACAGACATAATTCCTAAACAGAATAATATGCTTGACATTTCAAACTTCCGATTTTACTTGGTAATGGGGTTTTCTAAGGGTCAGCACAAGCAGATAGGCACCTCTATATGCTTGTAGAAAACCAAAGGGATCAGATTCCTTTAGACGACATCAGTTTAGCTTCACTGAATTCATTGGTGCTGCGCAGAGCCGCCCCAACTGCAAATGTTACCTACCGTTCTAGGGCTACCTCTCTTCTACAGGGAGGTGGGGTAGTCTTGCATTTATTTATATTTGTTCATGGCAATGGAAATGGAGAAAGTTTTGTATTGGGGGAAATTCAGTTGCTTAAGAGACACTTTCTAAGAATTTTCTGTATTTTTCCTTTAATAAACGCAACATTTTATATGTTTATCAAACTGAGATCAGTCAGTGAAAAAAGAAACATCTTTGTACTTGGTGAAATACATAGGGTTAGAAAACATGCAAAAAGGTGTACAGAGAAACTTTAAAAGAGTGTTAGTTTAAATAGTATGGACAAAATTCAGTCAAAAGGTGGGATGCAACATATCAAAAGTCCATTTCAAGAAAACAAAAAACCCTTCTCTTTAAATATTGTTACTGTTTTGTATCAAAACGTAGAACTTAACAACATTCTTTCTTTTAAAAAATTAAAAAAATATATATAACAACAAGCAAGAAGACAAAACACATCAAAAATGGGAATAAAAAAAAACTCTTCAAAAGAAGACAAGAAGTCAAAAAAAGAGGGGAGAAAAAAGATTTTCAGGGATCCTTGTCATGCAAATCAGTTTGGCGGCAAAAAAATACCTTCATCTTCAGCACCGTCATTATCACCTAAATCATCTGTCTGTTTCTTTGTAAGGGGACCTAGGATTGAGAACGGAGAAAATGGAGGAAAAAAGACAATTCAAGAATATACAAGACTGAGGAAAAAAAACAGTGAATATTAAATTCCCATGGATGTTTCAAGAAAAACATTTGCAGGGAGGGAAATCTTAGTTTATAACAACCAATTTTTCATTACGTTTTCCAAACATTACAGCAAAACCTTCCCTAGGGGGTATGGCTATTAGAAACATCTAGCACAAGAATCAAAGAGTGCCCAGTGCTTTATTGTTTTTAAATGAAGAATCAAAGCTTGTTTACTAAAAGCATACCCACCATAAACTATATTTATCCACTTAATTCGTTTTTTGTTGTTGTTGTTATTAGGAACAGCGGAGACAAGAACTGCCAAATTACCTCTTGCATTTGATGCAATAAGGTGGCTAATAAATGTCTTGTCAGTTGGTTAAAACAATATTTTCTCTGAAATGCTAATTCACATTTCCAAGTTCAACCATTTAAGCTCATGCTTTACAAAGATAAGCATGGGTTTGTTTTTTTGTTTTTGACACATTCATTACATTTTTTTTAAATAGAACTGTAGATTCCCTTGAATCCTTTGACTACCTGCTGAGATATTTGTAAAGAAACATGAAAATCCATATGTAAATAGAAACAAGAGCGAAATCCTAGACCAACTGAAGACAATGATTTTTGCCATTGATTTCAATGGGACCAGGGTTTCACCCACAGTATAGAAAAGTTGCATTAAATATGGGAATTGAAGTTTTAGCTTGGGCAAGACACACAATATCATAATTCCTTGTTTCTAGAAATGGATGGCAAGACAAAATTCTTTCATGCCCAGCACCTGTATTATTAACAAGTATTAAGAGATTCATCGTATTTTCCAATGGGAAAAATGCCCACTCCTTTACTGAGTAATAAAAATATACACCAGAAGGAAAGTCAAAGGCTATTCTGAAAATATTTCCACATCATATATTTTACACACTTACGCACAAACAAAAGACAGTTGGAACTCAGCATTATCTTTCCTTTTTTTTCAGAGCTCTCTCATTTCCATGACATTCTGTAATTTGCATGCAAAAAAGCAATCAGTTCAAACACAGGACTAAGTAACAAAAAAAGAAAAAGCCAGCCAAGCACAGAGTAGAAAACAAGAACTTTCTCATGCATAAAATAGCAATAGACAAAAACAACAACAAAAAAAGAGATGTGTTGATATTTGCAGTAGATGTAGGCAAGAGACATGCATTAATGCTAAGCACTATGGAGGATTAAAACATTTGTATTTAAAAAGCCCTCTCTAGCTCTGTTGTTTTACAGGATATTAGTCATTCAGCATTAAACCTGTCGTTTATAGGCAAAATACCATGTATTTGAGTGATGCATTTAAAAAAAATTCATAAAATGTTTGTACCAGGTGCATAGGTTTGAGAAACAGAAACAACCCATGAAGTACCACGAGATTTTAACTGTGAACGTAGGAACAGGCCCATATTATTGAAAACCAAAGCTGAATACCTTAATTACTGCGTCAGTCAGGAGTATAGTTTTAAACTCATTCTAAATACAGAACACTAGAATTATACATCATAAATTAGACACGAGCATTTTTATAGTCACACCTGCAACAATCGTTCTGTTAAATACAGAGCCTTGGTGAATGCAATAGCTTTTCCTAATACAAGCCCTGAATGTAATCTTTACAATCTATGGTATCTAGATAATGTGACCCTATCCAAATACACACATTCAAACGTCTTGCTGTCCATCATTCTCGTACCATAGTAACTTTACTTCTGAAAGAATAAAACTAGAAAAGTGAAAGACGTATGCAAAGAATAACAATAATTTCATGGTGGGTTTTCAGCACGGTGAACAGGAAGAATGGACTTAAAATTCTAAGAACTATGAACTTAATGGAGCTATGCACTTAATAATGGAGAGTCGGACACAGCCAAAGATATAGAGACGTACACATTTTTAATGGCTTCTTGTTACTTTTAAATTTTTAGAAGTCACCAGAAAGGAACAAAGTAGCACCTAGAAAGGCAAACAGCACACATTTCTCCAAATAACTTGTACAGAGAGGGTAATTTCTTTCCTGGATGAAACCAAGGTAATGAATGTTACATTTTTTTAATAGCTGGCCTTTGTGGGGTATTTTGTATAGATCATGGTTCCAGATCTCACCAGCGATTACATAGTGCATCAAACATCTCAATGCAAATGACTGATCTCGTACCATCTCTGATTTTACAATACCGTGAAGCATAATTGAGGCTAGCTATTAAAAATAACCTGAGTAATTTTAGTATTTATACAGTTGTGAGTTTCTCTGGAAACCATAAAAAAAACCCAGACCATCTTCCTTATAATCATGTTGCAATACAGATTATACACAATTCCTTTTGCAAAGGGGCTGACCTATTTTTAAACTGGCATAGATTAAACATGCTTTCTAATACAGCTGTATATCTATTTCACAATACAGGGGCTCTGGCTTGCCTCATCCCCAAGCAGGAGGACCCATCCCTGCTGGAGACATGTGGCAGACCCACCAGGCACCACCCAACAGTATTCTGTTAAGGAAGAGGTGAGACATGATTTCTGCCACAAGTTCGCTCCAGTCAGCAAATATAACGGACCACATCCATTACATCTCAGCAACACCTAGCTTAGAGATACACAGACCAAAATGCCTGGGACAAATTTTCTGCTTCCTGGAGTTACAATGCTATCTGAGGTCTAGAAACCAAACCAGAGTTTGGTCCTTGTGCACCAGGCATGAAACTATTTACCTATTAGCTGTACTTTACCTATACATGCGGGGATGCTGTGAAATTTAATTTGTATTTGTAAATTGTTCTGCAATCCCTAAAAGAAGCATCAGCTCGAGACCCATTGTGCACATGGCTGTCTAAAATGGCATATGGCAACATCGAGTGGTTCAATCTTGAATCCTCAAAGAGGAAGCAGAGCTCTGAGCTTGACTGCTTATGTTCTGTGGTGCCCGTTTCACGTCTAGCTGCTGAAGAAATTTTCTGAAATCATGAAAGTAGTATTAAGAGAAGGTCTGGATTAGACTTCCACCCGTTTCAGCAGTAATTCTCATTCTAAGAAATGGCTTTTCCCTGTGATTCTCTGGATAACAGACTGAACTGACTAAGAGCATCACTGTATGATCATAAAGAAAGACTGATGTCTTCAGTCCTTACACAGGAAAAAAATGCCGATATCAGTCAGACAAACAATATAAAATCTTATGGAAAGATCCTACAAAATGTAACAGCAATAGCCTTTTCTAGTAAAAATAAATCACGACTGAAATTGCTTAGTAGGTGTATAATTTTCAGTTACTTTCTGCAGGTTTGAATTAATATTCGACAAAGTTTATGATTTTGTAAATTAAATGTATCCCTCAACTAGATTTATTTCTTTAGCCCTGACTTTTTATTCAATATATGATTCTTTAGGATTCTTGATCATTTTAATATTCTTTTCAAGTAACAGAAACTAATTTTAAAAATAGTGATACTAAGACGTGATGGACTAGAAGCCAATGAAACAAAAGAGAGTATACATTTTACAGAATTATGATCAGCAAAAGTCTTTTGTGCACCATTACTTTCCACTGTTGTTCCACGGTAGCTTCTCTTCACCTTTCGTGAAGGCCCACATAGTCCTCCTCTTTGAGCATTTCATTTCACTTATAAAAACGGGCATCCATTACAAAAAGATCATTTTACTATGTTTAAGACATAAGCCTTCAAATAGACACACTGCCTTATTGTGCTCACCTAAATTTTAGCTGAAGTTTATGTAATAAATATTAAATATCAACAAAGTAATCAGATACCATAAATAATGGGGGGGGGGGGGGGGGGGTGGGGGGGGGGAAGGACACTAAAGCCTCTAAAATGCGAGGCAAAGATGATTTACTTGTCAAGAGCCTCTCTAAGGTTTAGTCTCATTTAGTCTCATGCTGTTGCATACCCATAACTCTCATTAATGCTAATGGGAAAGCAGACCCCTAAGTCAGTTTAAAAAGGGGAAGAAGTGATTACTGCATTTTATGTCTCCTAAAGGCAATGAATAGTCTTACTACAAAAGCTAAAGGAATGTTGTGTGCAGGAGGAACTCCTAACAAACTCTCTACTTATTTAATTTAAAAACAGATCTTACATTATTTAAAGTATTATTCAAATATTTACTTTATTTGTACTGCAATCAATGCTAAGTAACACAATGCATTTTAAAATCTCAATAGTTGACTAGTATATGCTTGCAGATGTCTTTCCTTTGCTCAAAATAAGAGAAATAACATACCTCCTGTCCAGTTAGCTAGAGTAATTATGTGCTCAGAAATAATTAAAGTCCAGCCATATTAATTCTGGTTTTTTATCATTCCCTTTGATGAAGGACTAAGGTACTTTAGCTCCCAAATACATTAAAGCTGATTATAAATTCTCTCTTTATGGCCTTGATTCGGCAGAAATTATCTGTGGCCTTTTGGACCGCATGTGTGTGGGAGGCATGGAAGCTGTGGATGTCATTAGCTTTTTGGCCGGGGAAAGCTATTAATCATAAAAAAGTCATACTGCAAGTTGACACCATTTTGTAAAACAACAGTACAAATCCTCTAAAGTTAATAAATCTGTGATTATGTATACAGCCATTGTTCGGGCCAAAATGTTCTCCTTCGGTAATGAGAAAAGTGGGAAAGAAAAAAAGGACCTTTTACATTAGGTTAAGTAGACTCCATGGATCTAGCAATTTAGAAATCTCCACAGTAATAATCATTCTTTGAGTTAAGGTGTCTGTTCAATAAAAAGGGAAAGAGATGAGATTAAGGCCAACTGCTGAAATAACACAGGTATTAGAAAAATTCACTGAGTGGGTCGCAACACCGTGGAATCCGGTAGTGCATATGTTAAATACAATTATATATTTGCCTTTAAACTTAGATAAGCGCCTCCATCCATCGCTATTTTGTCTTCATTAGCTCATTTTTT